GAAATAGTATATCAAACAAGTATTGGAGACTTATAGATCAATAACAGAATTTGAAAAAAAACAAAAAAAAATTTGCTTGTAGAATAAATACATTAGTCAAGGTTCTAATAAAATATTAATATAAATTTAATTCAAGATATAGTAACAGAAAAATTAAAAGAAATCAAAAATTAGAAAAGAAAAAAAAAGAATTTGATATTAAAGATAGTAAAAAAGATTTTAGTAAAATTGTTTAGAAATCAAAAAATCTTTACTAAAATACAAAAAAAGTTTTTAAAAAGAAAACTAGATTTTAAGAAGAAAAAAAAAAAAGAAGAAAAAGAAAGTAAAAAATGCTCAAACTTAGAACAGAAAAAAAAAACTTAAATATACTAATTAAGACTTAGAAATTAAAAGACCAAAAGAAGGTCCAAGACAGTTAGAAGAAGAAAAAGTCTACAGAAGAATACTTCTAAGAAAGACCTTTAAAACAAGTTCTCTAGAAAAAGAAAAAAATATATAAAATCACAAATTAGAAAAAAATTATAAAAGAAAAATATAAAAAGATTTCTGAAAGCCAGGCCACCAATCAGAAAGAACAAAATAAATTAAAAAAAAGAAAAAAAACACAAATATGATCAAAAGAATTTTGGCAATAACCCTTTTGTAAAAGATGAAATGAAATTGATTTTTAATAAAAAATTAGATTTAGATTATTGTTTTAAAAAGAAGGATAGTTTAAAAAGAAAAAAATTATCAATTAAATATAATTAAAAATTCTTTTAAATCAAAACTATTTTGTTATGATTTTGCTAACTAACTTGGTGCAACCCTCTAGTATAGGCAATAGTTTTAACTAATAAAACAAACTGCATTTGGATACTCATAAAAAAAACTGAATGATATCAGATTTATAATTTAGATAGTTTAAAATATACTTGTATATTTGCTTTGATCTAATAAAAATACCAGCAAGGCTACTAATACATAGAAAAAAAAATAAAATAACTATCTTGCTTTATATATTTGTAAATAAAATAAATGGGATGGCTGGTTTGAATATAATAGCTAGAATGAATAGAATAGCTAGTTTAAATGTAACAACTAGATGGCTGAAATGAATAAAACAACTAGAACTAACAGAATTGTGATAAGTAACCCAATAATATATAGCTGTTGTAATATTCAATTAAAAGAGATAGCTAATAATAACCCACCTTGTTTTATAGCTAAAACACATGGAATACCAAAATACCCCTAGTCAAAACAAACGTGTTTTGTTTCTAAAAGTTGCGTGCAAAATTGAAGTTAAAAAAACCGTGTTATAGTTAAAATATATTAGTAAAACTTCACAAGAAACATTTTTAATTAAACCGCAGAAGGTGGTTTCCTAATTAAAATTTAGAGCTATTTAGTAAAAAAGTGAGTTCGTTTCGATTTTTACGTTACACCTGATCTTGAAATTCAATTGGTCAAAATTACAAGCAATTTTTTGTGGGAGAACTAGAAGCATCCTTAATGAATTAGTCTAATTTATCAAAGTATATACATTTTTAATTTACAATGTCGTCCTTTGATCCTGATCGTTACATGCTTGGCAATGCCGGAGCGCGTCGCCTGGGGCTTTTACTTGGGCAGAGTGATCCTGTAACGGGAATCACAGAAATCCAGCAACGCTATCAAGTAAAGGTCGAAAACATTGAGGTATAGCGCGTCACAAGTTGTTTATATTTCCAACCTACATTTTAATAGAATATTTGAACTTCAGAACGTATATCCATTACTCGAATTAAGTGGCATGTCAAGATTCAATATTCATGTAGGTATTTTGGAAGCACTAAGGAACAAGTTTATACAAGCTATCGAAACAGAACATTGGGATCATGACAAGTGAGTTTTATGAAAGATAAAACATAGACATATAGTATTGAATTGTTGTATTTCTCTTATTCCATTCTTTTTCTTCTATGCAGATTCACCAAATTCTTGTCAAAGTCCATGGGGTACTTATTTATTAAAGAGTTTCGCCCCGTTGTTCTTGCACTTCTTAAGAAGTACCCTGAGCGTGTAACAAAAGATATTTATGAAATGTTGGCACAAGAACCGAACATTATACATGTAATTATCAATATGGACAATCGAAATTAGTAATCAACCAATTATTCAAAAATTTAAACATATTTAATATTTAAATGGAATAGGAGGCTCCGATTGAGATCAAAAGAGGTTTATATGAACGCAACAAAAAAATGTTCAAGGTATCTATTCAAGCACAAATTGTTGGTTATTTTAAAGACCAGGCTTTGGGTATGCAGGCACGAGAAATGAGGGGAATTGGTGTTAATGATGTTTTAGATCGAAGGTAAATATATTGTGCATGCTTTTTTCTCATACATATTATTGTACAATGAGATCAATTATAATACCCTTACTTTAGGATAAATGCTGCTGGACTACAATATATTATCAATTTGGTTCATGAAAACTCGGTCCTTTTTGCTGAATTGCAAAACATAGTTAGAGAATGGTATAAAGAATATGGACTCTCAAAACTTTGTTCATTTCGATTTGATTTCTTTATGGGCATGCAAAAAGCTGGAAGAATTCATGTAAGTTGAGTTTAATTTAGGTAATTTTAAAAACCGAATAATATTTAACCAAGTGAATATTTAACATAAAACTACAGATGTGTAAACAGGACCATTCTTACAATATAATTTGGTATATTAATGGAGGGATAAGGAAAGGTTTGGATGCAACTGCGGTCGGCAGCATAAACACTTATTTGGCCGAATATAGGAAATCTGGCTCTAGAGAATTTTCGTATGACATTTTGGGTTAAAGTTACAATGAACGCAGGCATATTTTCCACTTTAAAAACGCATAATAACAATTTTAAATTATTATTTTAATAGAGATATCGCAATGATATTCCAGGACCCTATCGTATATAATGTTTTCTCCGCTCGTATTGTCGATGCTTTAAAAAAATATATTTCTGAATACTTTAAAAAGAATACAGATAAAACAGCTGAGGAAAAAAATATTCAAAAAACCGTCACCGCAGCTTTAGCCACATTATTGGTCCGTTTATTATGATGTTTAATAATTTCATTTTAAAATTTACTAATTTAATGAATTTATTACATGAATTATTAGAAAGAAAAGGAATCGACTGTTAGATGGTTATCTTCAATGGTTACTTTTGGCAGTTATGCACATAACATGTTGATCACCAAAAATTATAATGTGCCAGAAGTGGAAGAAGACATTTACGCTATATATTATAAAAAACTATTATATTGGATGTATGATGATAAAATAAGAGAACTAAAAACGCGTCAAACAATGGCACATTTAAGCATAGATGACGATCAAGATGTGCCAAATACCATTAGCACAGTGCTCGCATTTGGAGATATTGAGCTTCGTATGTTGAAAAAAATAGATTTAGCAAGAAAGGTAATTCTGTGCTTTTATTTTTTTTTTTTCATAATCATTTTAGCAGCTCAATATCACTATTCATAATTACACATATATATATTTTCTATTTTTTTTTTTTCATCACAGGTCTTTTGTCATTATATGCTAGATCGTTGTGAAAAGAGTGACATCATAGCTTTACGACGTGCGCTGCATTACTTCAAAATGACTATGCCAACAAATGACTTAGATACCTTACATGTTGAAGTTTATGAATCTACGTTCCAGTCACTTATTACGTTACTTATCAAGCATCATCGTATTCGCATACTTTCTTCTGAGAAATGGCGAGGTGTCATCAGAATGTTAATTACTACACCATGGAAATTAACAATACATGAAATGGTGATCAAACTTTTGATAGAATTTTATAATGAAGATGTCAGTGCAACATTAGAAAATTCTGGTAGCGTGGAAAAACTGAAGCAAGTAAGAGAATGGAGCGAGATTGCTGCAAGTCACTATTCTCAACTTGGCATAAACGTAAAGATACTTTATATTTTTCTACATTCTTAGTAATGTGTATGAATTAACTCATATATTTTAATGAATCTTTTAGCGAAATGATCGTACAAAGATCTATTATTGTTATAATTTACTCGTAAACAAATCTAATCAATGTTTAAATGGGTTGTGGTGTATTAAGCAGGAGATATGCCCTACTGTTTGGGATTTAGGTATCGAACATGGTTCAGCAACATCGCATGAAGATTCACATACGGTCCCAATGGAATTTTAAAACACAATATATGTATCGTGTAAATAGAATAAGACAAAGGAATTTCAATTAGATTTGTGGTAAACTACCTAATTTGCATTTACTACTATATTATTGCTATTATAGTAGACATTCCGAGTAGTGTTTTATGAAAGATTGTTTTTGCTCATTTATTATAAATAAATTGAGTATCGTCTATATATGTAATTAATAGATTTTCCCAATTATGCTAAGTACATGAGTAGTATCTAATAATAAAGTTTATGATGATTTAAAATCCAACTTATTAGTAGCTACTGGTATCTACCTTTGCATATTATTAACCTAACGGTATCTACCGGTAGCTACCCACTTATGTAATCACTGTTAGTGTTGACTTGTGTTTTATTAAGCACGAGTGGTGTTTACCATAGTTTCAACCTGAGTTTCTTATTGGCTGTTATATTTATTTTCACCAGTTTCATATATACCTGAAATGATTAGTCTAAAGCGGAGCTGGTCCACGTGACATCTGACCAATCAAATTATCGAATTTTGCTGATCATCGAGCACGTCTGAGGTCATAGACAGAAGTTCGTCTGATTGGCTAATGTAAATCAATTGCCCGGGTAACTTATTTATATACTTTAAAGTACTTTTTAAGAAATCGAGTGTTACATACTAAAAGAACGCCAATTTTTACATAGGTCTCTTCGTTAAAG